TGAAGTAGGTCAAAAAGTCCTCACAGTTTGGGATGTTTGATAACATCAACCTTTAGCCTAATTAAAGTATAGCATTGTTGGATTAATGCAAGCAGGCACTGACTCACATAAAACACATTTATCTAATTATACATAAATTACACTTTCAATCCAATCCTCTTTATTTCTAACCCTAAGACTGTTTCCTAAGTGCTGCACATAGAAAAATTAAAACTCTACAATGTAATACAATAAAAGCATATATGCAACAGAGTAAAAACAAATAAATAAAACTGTAATATAGTAATATATACCCAGAGGAATAAATAATTAAAATCAATCAAACAAAGGAAGAGGATCAACAGAGGACCATCCAACTCAATTGGTGTTAAAAAAAATCCCCCAAACAGTAGCTAAAGTGGATTTCTACCTAATGCATCGACATCTGAACTTTCACTGTGGATGACCAAGGCTCACTAAATATATGTTTTCTCAGACCTCTCTCTTAATAATCAAGTTAATATCCAAAAACAAACTAAAAGAAACCCTTTAAGGAGATACAGGTCATCCCAGGACACATAATAAAAACAAGAGGACTCTGAAATCCATATCAAGCTGAAATTGCTCCTGCCAAACCGGGGGATTTAGACGCTACATTTGGCTTAGAGTTCAGACCAGCACAATAACACTGCCAACAATGAGAGGCCAAACTATCATCTACCAGACACAGGTGAAAACTATGAGATGAGCACTGGAGTATAGCCCGGGGAAACATTGTGGAAAAAGTTCATCCCATTTGGAGCGTAAAAGTTTGATAAGGCACAGCAGACAGGGCTGACGTGCATGAACGCCACACCTGGCAGGTTAATGAGAGGAGCAGGATCAGGCCAAAGCCAGACAGATGGTGGGAGAGTGACCCAGGGACCAGGGTGGAGAGCCAGATTCACCCAAATAAACAACCCAGGGAAAGGTCTGGAACAAAACTGGTGATATTAAAAGGTGGAAATCATGGGTTTCAACTTTCTGTTTCTAATTGACATTTTGAGGACGTTTCACTCTTCCAAATATATTTTATTTTGAGCTTGTTTTGAAATGTTCATTGGCTACCTGGCTAATGTTGTGTCACTCTGAAACCAATGCATAAGAAGAAATGTGACTATGCCAGATGAATGACTATCATTTGCATCAGTTCTGTTCCTAAACCTAACTCTAGTTTTAATCCTAAATTAAATGATTTAACTGGTTTCTTAAACACTTAATAACCATTCATACACCTTCACTAGAATCATTTGGATGACTTCAGCCTAGGAATTGCCAATCTCTAGAGAACAAAAGGTAAAAGGTAGCTGTTAAAATGAGCACTACCACTACATGACATCACAAGGTGTTTTGGAGATGAAGACAGCCTAATAATCCAAGCTTCAACACATGTGTCAATGTAAAAATACAAAACTGTAGGTATGTTTTTGAGGAGCTTACATTATACCATGGCTTAAAGCTTACAAGAGTCAGTTTTGTGTAATATTGAACCTTTAAAAAGTAAATTAATTGGCATTATTCTGTCTCATCACATCCCATTTGACACACACTGCATTTGGACCACCACCTTGCCAAGTTGGCAATAAGAGTATGGTAATTAGTGACAGTTATAAAATGCACTGTTGTGTAATTTTCTTCATATACTGTAGATTGCTTCTGTAGTTTTGATTGCAAACCTACTTCTTCTGGTTCTGAGCTTCTTGTAAAACTTGGTGTACTACAGACGTCTCATCCATCAAAACAGAGCTAATGCCTCAAAGTACAGCTGATCTAAAGCTTTTCATAGTCTGTGGAGCTAATTTGAGACTGAGTACATATTGTGCAAAAGCCAAACTTGGCTCTGTGGTTGGAGCTGTAGTCCAAGTGGGCAGCGTTGGTTTCCTCAGCCTCCATCTTGATTGGAGCCCTGTTCTTAAAGCTTGGCACGTCCTCAACGGAGTATACATCATCTGTGAGACCATCTTTGCCTCATCACTCATCCACATGTGCACACCTTTGGCTTTATGAGACCGTGACTGCTGTTTAATTAACATTGTGAATGGCAGTGATTCATCAGACAGGACAAAAGCCAGACTGTCTCATCCTCTGTCACTAGGGGTGGATGAGATTGACAAACATGACAATATACTCACTATATCATAACAATCCATCAGCAACAGTCAAAACTTTACACATTTCCATTACATTATATCCCATTATATTCCATTTCTATGTCAAACTTTTTTTCTTATTATAAGTTTTCTTGTATGATCCTTTTTAAAATGTGTGTCAAAAACAATTTAGCATACTAATGACTACACCTCATGCTTTAAGGTGCAATTCTATTTTATACACCTCTGATAACTTCTGAAACAATTAAGCATCATGGCGATGTCACTCGTTCCTTGTCTTTCATTGTTTAGTGAAGCAGTGAAAAACAGCAATGATCCCTAAAAAGCCTCCTACACACTCTCGTCTTTGATCAGGCAGTTAGATACACACCACTGCATCGTTCTCTTGCATCTCTGACAATTAAAATTTGTGAAGCTACAAAAACTTTCAAAAAGTTACTGTAGCAGAATGATGAAACCTCTTCCAGCTGACCTTCATTTTGGATCTTTAGGTGAAAATTCAAATCACGTTCATATTCATGGATGTTAAATTCTTTTAAATGTATTTGAGCAAAGCATTTATGTATTTGAAAATCTATTTCAGTTCAGAGATAAACATCATTAAAGGTCCCATATTACATAAATTTGACTCTTTAGTTCTTGTTATAATGTTATCACCTCAAAAACATAGCCTGATTAATCAGCCAGTTTCACTTCGTAGAAACCGTCTGACCTTGCAGCATTAGAATTCACTCGCTTAACATTAGGCGGGTACTTTTTTTATTTAACCAGTCACTGCTATTTGGTCGTGATGTATGTAATGCGCCGCTAACGGGGGTAACTGGTATATTAAGCTTTTCCCAAATCTCATAGGAAGAAGGGCAATAACCTCTTTCCCCTTGATAAAATTCACCAAACATTCTCTTTGTTCCAGCTTTAAATCCTCGATCTTGGGAAGCGTTGCCAACACTGAATGTATGGCTGTTCACTGATTGGCTGGTGCCCGAACTCGCACTTCTGGGGTTCTTGCAAACCGTCTAGTGTATTTTGATTCCTGACCTAGTCGCTGGAGAAAAATGAAATTGAGCGAAGGCACTAAGTGGCTATCAAAAACATGTGTGGAGTTCCCTAGCTCAAAATGCAATAGTTTTTCACTATAACTCCTACCTTTTAATTTTTGTTCAGTAGAGAGATGGGCATTTCCAAGGCTGAAATTGTCCAAATGATTCTAGTGAAGACTTAAGGAGTTTAAAACTCTTTCTTTATCACTATTTGACATCACAAGTTGGAACTGCGGGTTTTCTGTTTGAGAGAAGAACCCAAATATGCAAGTTTTGTGTATTAAATGAGTGCAAATGAAACAACACAAAACTCCAGGTATAGTTGTGGTAAGGAAACAATATTATAACATCAGAAAGTAACTTAATATGGGTCCTTTTAATTGAATGACCTCACTGCAAAAATCATTGTAAAACTTAAAATGTTAGATTTTGTTATGAAATCCCTTTGAATTCCAGTTCTCTAATGCTTTATTGTTTTCTACTTGGAACGAATATGAGCATCAAAATAACTACAAACTTTGACAGGTGAAATCTTTTGTTTTGCATTAATGAACACATATTATGGGGATTTTCGAACTTGACACAGAGCTTTTGATCTCTATAGTCCATCTCCTTCTAACTGGGCCTGTCTCAAATTAAAACAGCTAAACATGTATTATTCAGGGCCTCATTGTGACAGTGTTTCTCTCGCCTCTCTCTGTGTGGTGGCTTGCTAATACGCCAGCTGATTATCATATTCCTCATTACGGACCACAGATGTTTTATCAGTGAAAACACTCATATCCTTATCTCTGGCTGCTGCTCAGTGATTTGTCGGCATATAATTGTGTTGCATATGGACGGGTTGCCAGGTTGATGTGTTGAGATCACCTTTAGGGTGCCTGTGCGAGCGTGCGCCTGCAGAATAATAATGTTGCCATGTCCTAGACTCCAAAGACCTACATTACTCAGAGGAAATCCATATTGTCTCCTGGGAGCATTTATCAGTAAGGTTATCAGAGCTTTGTTAACTTCTGCTTGTGTGGGTCTCTATGAAAAATCTATCAGTAAGGTGAGCAATTGTTCATAGACTAGAATCCAACCCAAAATCAGTGTTTAAATGTTCAGTGTTCAAAATCTAGAGCAAAATCTGTCCTTTCACAACATTTTACAACAGGTATATTATATTATATCCTATATTACACAAAACTGACTCTTGTGAGCTTTAAGCCATGTTATAATGAAGTTACCCCCTCAAAAACATACCTGGAGGTGAGTTTTGTTTCATTCACACATTTAAATAACCCTTTATTATTAGTCTATCTGCAGCTCCATAGCTCAAAATGCCCTCTTCCACCTTGTGATGTTGTGAAGCTGTAGTTTTCAAGTTAACTGTTACCATTTATCTTTGGCAATTCCAGGGCTGAAATTATCCAAATGATTCTAGTGAAGGTGCATGGAGTTTAAAAACACAGTAGGGCACTTTATGTAATACCACATGACATCACAAAGTGGAACTGAATGGTTTTCATTTGAGAGCAGAACTCAGCCTAAATGTGCAGGGTCTGTGTGTTAAACATGTGAAAAAACAAAACAAAACACAGCTCCAGGTATATTTTGATAAAACAATATTATGATACAGAAAATTGAAATGAAATCAGAAAATTGCATAATATTGGCCCTTTAAAAACATGGGTCAATATTATGCAAAAAATTTACTTCCAGAATAGTTAATGTAATGTCTAAAAATTATTATGCACGCGTATTTTGTATTAATCACAACTTGCTATGCACCAGTTGCATATGAATATGTGTGTGCCAATGTAATCAGCCCCTGTCCTTTGTGTTCCAGATGAGGGTCAGACGATGTGCCACAGCCCCTCGGAGCTGGTCGGGCAGCGTTTGGCAGAGGTGGGCATGCAGCTGCGGGCAGACTGCCACCAAGGCTTGGGCTACTGGGACTACCTGTTCTTTATCGCCATCGGCTTCGTCATATTCTCCGCCGGGACCGTGTCGGCATGGGTCATGGGCGTGCTCATGGTGCTGTACGAGCGCTACACCAAGAGGAAGGGAGAGACGCTGGACAGTGATGATGAGGGGGAGGACAGAGGAGGAATGGGGGGCGCAGGAGGAGCAAATACAGGGAATGGAGATCTGAACAAACCCAGTATGGAGGTGTGACTGAGGGGTCTGTTCAGAGCTAAGGGGACTTACAGACTGTTTCTCTATGGAGTGGGTATCAGCACTTCTCATTATCATATCTCTGGATTAAAGGGGGTTATATGTAGTACTGATATTCAGTACAAAGAGAGCAGGAGAGCACTGCTGCTGAAGTCTTCCACTGTGGCAGGTGAAGTATTCTGGTGTGAAACTGCCCCCATCAAGTCAACCTCAGCATCATTATAGTTAAGCCTCTTTTATATGACATGGTGGGTATTAGTGGGTGGTGATCTCAGCCAAGCAGACAACAATCAACTGGTTTTAGCAAGTTGTAGTAGCAAATTTTACAAAGAGTGAGACACATTTTATAACATCTCAATTTATGTGTGCTCTAGGGTTTGTAACTTTTCTGGTGGAGGGTCTGCCTTGAATGCCTTGAATGTTCCACAGTGACATGAAACTTGTCTATTTCCATGGAGACACACAAGTGGTGCGAGGTCAGATCTGTGGTGAAGTAACCCCACTCACAGTAAGAATGTTTTCCAGTGAGTTTTTGAGCAATAAAATGATGTGCATTTGAATACATAGTTTAATACCATAGTGTAGAATATTCCAAGCAAACTAATACAGTATCTCTATAAAGACAAGTTGGTAGGGGACCCTTAACCTGATGAGTTACAGAATGTTCCTTTAAGTATTTAGACCTGTAACAAATACTGGAAAGCAATATGACAATTCCTATCCAATTTGAAAGCTCTTACATACAACCCCTTTATAATATATCCATGTATTTCCTGTATTGCGTGTGAATGGGAAAAGGAAACTACAATAAGGATGCCTTCACTTCAGGAGTAATACAAGTTTACCGAGAGCAATAACCTCATGAACACCAGAAACACATACACCATAGACGCATTCACAGTCCATAGCACAGTCAGTCCACAGAGAGGGGATCTGAGTGGGCAGGTACCTGTTTGAGTGTTTGAGATGTGTGACTAATACAGTTGAAAATTTACACCTGCTATCAGTACAGCTAGAATGATTTTTCTAAATGTAAGTTGGATTCTAATGAAACATGAATGTAAAAACAACTTTTAAGTTATAAATCTTATTTTATATTTGATGGGAGACTGGGCATTACCGCTGCTGTTTTATATTGGAAAGTGAATCATTTTCATCAAGTACTGCAAATCGGTTTACTACTGCATCCTTGTGTACAAAATAGCAAATCCTTATAATGTTTTGGATTTCTATAAAGTCACAGCAATTTAACACAGTCAAAATCATATCATCATCTGTAGGATAATAACATGCATGGATATGGCTGCTTAAGAGGAAAAAAGAAAGGAAAAATATATCACAAGGGACTGAAAACATTGTGTATTTCAGCAGAATAAAAGAAAAAATCACTAAACTCTGTTAATCTGAGGTAAGAGAATTGTAATTTTATTCAAAATAATGGGTTACCAATGAGTGTCACTGAAAAAAAAAATGAATCTGATTGCACTGTGTTTGAACCTGGCTTGAGGCAGGAGGGAGGGGTAACAGGACAGACTCCCTCTGTATAAAAATACAGAGAAATATAATTCTTTCTAGGCAGCAAAGATGGGCTTTCTGTCAAACAAACTAATGCACAAACACTGACCCATGCTTTGTCAGTGGAGATGCCGTTCAGTTTCAATAGTTCAATCAATCAATTTCCATTACTTGGTGAAATGAATCCCTATATTTTTGTGTCTTGTACATGCATTGTCTTATAACATTTTCTTCAGTTTTAGCCTCAAACGGGTCTGTGGGAAGTGGGGCAAGTTGAGTCAGCTGCAGTTATGGCTAATGATGATGCTTCTCTATGGGACCAGGGGCTTGGCATGGTTTGAGTTCATATTACAGTGGGCTGCTGCAGACTAAAGCCCAGCTGTCAGAGCGCTAGTCCTGCGCCTCTCTTTTACGCTCTACTCTCTCTCTCTCCATCCGTCTGTGTGTGTGTGTGTGTGTGTGTGTGTGTGTGTGTGTGTGTGTGTGTGTGTGAAAGCCCAGTAATTCACGGGCTCTTCTTCCTATCCTCCATCATGGCTAAAATGGACAGTTAGCGATGATAGACGGCAAACTGTGAACACAGGTGGGCAGGGTCACAGTGAGATGCGTGGATTCGTGCTGAGTGATGTGTTTAGGAGTGGTTATTGGAGGCCTGATTGATAGAGTGCAGTTTATTCATTTTCTAAGTGGCTTTGAATGCAGCAGAGAAATGGGTGATGGGCGTGGCAGTGTGAGCACCACTGTGGACTTCCTGTGTGTTTATGGTAATCTATGTTAAGTTTATAAAGGTTACTTGTAGTGACTCTTTAGATGAATGCGTAAAGGGGCGAAAATAGAAGCTTAACCTAAAGGCTAAACTATAGTCACACAGCCACAGTGGACAGCACACTGGAATATGCAGTTTCACAGTGTAAAAAGTATAGTAAAGAAAAACAGAAATCAATGGTTTGCAAATGTATTTTTGAATTAAACTAATCAGAGGAGAAAAATAGTATTTATTTTGATGACCTCTATATATATTTCAAACGGCTGGGAAGAAGATTGTGATTGATCAATTCAGTTTAAAATCGGTTTGTTTAAGTAAAATATAAATTAACTGAAAAATAGTGAATGCATCCAAATATTAACATAGTTTGGAGTTGGGAACACCTTTGAAGTCATTGATACAATTTGAATAAATGCACAATAGGCTAATTTTCTTTTAAGGATTTCACAAACACAGCCTCCAAAAATAAGCGCGCTATGATTCAGCCTCATTAGAGCTTTTCTTTTGATATCCTTTTCTTTGAAGAATTTGGCTTAGATCAAATGAAAATGCCAGATTTTTGTTCATAATTTTTATTAACTGAAATTGGAGCTACAATGAAAAGCATTTTCTTTTCTTGTTATCTATATACAGTACACATAAACTTTTTTCTGAATCTGGTTCATACCCCTCCCACTAGCTCTCAAATCTCAAGGGCAGATCTAAAGTCATAGCCGGACATTAACACTCCTGTTTTGGTCTCTTAACATCCATCGTCCGTTGGCAGTGGTCATTCCAGTGATGGCATTGGCATTCACGCGGCTGCGCACACCTGCACCTATAATTTATCTGCTAAATCTTTAGGCTGTCATTATCAGATGGTTTGTTCAAAGGCGCACAAGGATTTCGAGAAGCTGCCAATCCATCTTACGTTACCACTGCTTCGGTGAAAAACATTTGACCTACACGAGTTCAACCTCTCAACGGCCAATCCTCAAATACATTGTTTCCTCTTTGGATCATTTCAACGGCAAGCAAGCTATTTTCAGACACAATTTGCTCCGCCCCAAAGTCATTTTTTATACAGCAGACAAAAATAGTGCAGTTTAGCAGACACAAAACGCTCTAGGTCACAGGACGCAGGACCAGTGTGCCAAAAGTAACACTGTGTGGTTATTTGGTGTGGTACATTGGTGTTAACTCGCTACAGGGCACAACAAGAAGCAAAGTAAAAATAAAGCTAATGATATGTCTATGTGGCAGCTCCTATTGGGGTTTCTAAAAGGTGGGCCAGGTGCAAAAAGGAGCTCACAGACTTATAAGCAGAGGCATTGACACTTGGATCAAATAAAAAATAAACAGCTTGGTTGTTTATATGTATAAGAAGTAAACTTTAGAAGTAAACATTAGCAACAATCAAAACCTTAAGACAGTGCATAGGTTTTCTGCTAATGTTTTTAATTTAGAGGCTGTCCAGTGACCTCTCTGACCTCATCCAAGTGGACCAAAGGAAAACTCTACAACAGATAAAGATTGTAATGTTCAAATGGTCTTGCTCAAGGGTCCATCAACAGTATGAGAGAGAAGAATTCAAATAGGACTGTACATTTAATTGACTTGTAATCAACATCAAGATTTAGTCATTTCTAAATGTCAGTGGTATGCTTTAGTCTTTTTAATCAAGAGGTCTACAGGCAGTGTCAGTAAAAGTCTGGAGTTTGGAGTTCAGACTTAAGAGAATTTGACAATTTTTGTGTTGTGTATGCTAAATAAATAAAAATGGTTGATCACAATGAGGAAAAAATCGTGATACTAGCGCGTCTCCTTAGCTGCTGTCCACAGTTTAAGAATGAAGCTGTTACTGTGGTCAGAGACTTTGATTTAACCACGTCACTTAAGATTGCAGTGAGTGATTATCGTGATGAAGAGGCCACTTCCAAACGTCTGCCATGCTCACAATATCCTGAATATGTAGTGTGTGCGCTGTGGTTAGTTTGCTGATTAGTGATCAGAAGTGCCGTGTCAGCTCTCTGTCAGGCAGGCTACACATAGAGACAACAGAGACCAAGCAATCCTCTTCGTGTGACTTTGTGTGTCCACGTGCGTGTGTGTGGATGTGTGTCTGACCTCAACTTGAAGGTCTATCTCTGTATTATTGGTACAGATTAAATGTAAATAATGTTTGAGTTGATTTAGTTTTGTATATCATAAATTATAAGCAATAAACTGATGAGGAGTGAATGACTTTTTTGTAACATTTTAAGTCTCTAGAATTCTTGTCTTAGAAATTAAGCGTTCAAGAATTCTTCAATAAAATACTTGAATAATAATATTGTGTACTGATTACTGATGATTCAATTGTAGTTAGTGAATTTGTAGTAGTATTTTGTAGTAAAGGTGAATATTTGGGTTAAAGGTGGGTTGCTATCATAAGTTCTTACATTTAAAGATCCTTTCTGAATCTGTATTTCTATCTTATTTAATGAGGGGTTGTACATGGGTGTCTATAAGGGACTGGGACATATGTCAACATATTAACATGTATTGTCCAAGAGTTTCCATACCCTTCATAAAGTCCAGTATAAGCTTTGAGCCAGTGGGTGTCGTCTATAAAAAATCATTCATAACACTGTGAATCTGTCATGTGTGGCTTTACATTAAATATAGCAGTCTCCTAAGTACATAGACTGAATAGACTACATAGTGGATGAGCCATAAGATTATAAGCATGCCCCCACTATTGTCCTTACCCCCTGAGTCTCCACCTGCTCAGCTCTCGTCACTTGATCCTGTCTACTGCTTTCTTTTTCCTTTCCACTCTCTCTCTCCCCCCTTTTTTTTCTCACCTCTCAAGCCCTCTCCTGCGTTCTCTCTCAGTTGTGGTGCCAGCTCCTCCACGGACCTCTGTAATCCCTGAAATTTGTCCCGCTCTGCTACTACCGCTGGACTGTGAGTGACCTTAAAAAGATGGCACAAAAGTTGTTTGTGCTCATTATCTGGTCTCATTATTATCTTCTTGTTCATAGGTGCCATCTTGAGCACTTTTCGTTACTTAAAACTTTCAAAAAATATTATTACAATATTTTGAAGTGTCATTGCTATGGTACAAAATTTTCGTCACTCTTAATCTCCTGGATAGGCATTGAAGTACAGGCCAGTTTTCTCATATGCATTAAGTCTCTCCGTACCTTCCTTGGACCACTTTAATAGATAGAGATCACTGTAGAATGGGAACATTGCACAAGAGCTGCAGTTTTGAAGGTCATTTAAACATCACAAAATTGCACTACTGAGCACATTAATCGTGAGGTTAAAATATCACCATCCATTATAAAAAGGTGTAACCATGGCAACAATTTATGTTTTACTCACATCTGTAAACTGTCAATAGCCACAATATCATACCTGATCAATGCAATGCTCAGAACACATTTGAGCTCTGGTTGAACATTTGTTTTCTGATCTAGTTATTTCTCTAAGACAGAAAGAACAGACATCGTATTGCAGTCAATCAATAATGCATCCTCCACATACTTTTGAGTCATTTTGTCCCAAATTGTACTTACTGATTATGAGGTAGTGCCCAAATACAGAGTCAGTAAAAATGCATGAGGAAGTGCTTCTTTCTGGTAAGCTTAGATCTATTCATACAAATAATTTAAGATTTAAGGTTAAGGTTTTGTCCAGGTACTCCAATTTCCTCCATCAAACATGTGCAATCGTCAAATATCTTCAGCGCAGCAATCCTGACCAAATGTTAAGAAATACAGGCTCTGTTTTTAAACTGTTTACCTTTTACAACAAATATAAAAAAATATGTGTCTTTACATATACTGTACATTCTAACAACATCAGCAGCAAAGACTCTGACCATAAATCTATACCTAACCTAGATGACAAAGATTTAATGTCAAGTTTTTAAAAAAGCTATAAATATTTGAAACTTTTCCTATGTTAAAAAAATACAAAGGAAAAGTTACCCAAAACAGTTTGCACAATGGTATAATGCTTTGAGAAGGTGTCACGATTAATATTCAAATCAGGTATAATGCCCATATCAACATCTGTTTATGCATTCCTTTGATGGTGACCTGTCTGACATATATAACCACACACACACAGTACACACACTCGCACACACACACACACACACACACACACACACACGGACACCCACACGCACACATTCACAGCACACACAGAATCGTGAGTATGACATTGTGAGCAGAGGAGAGGCGGCTGTCAGCAGGATTCCCTGGGCTCATCAGTGAAGGCTGAGACGAGACTGAAAGAATCAAGACCACAACCTTCCAGACAACCACATGGTCATTTTATAACTGCTCTGTGGGTTAGATCACACTTTGTGTATAGATGGCCATGTGAGGCCAAGATTATGATGACTCAAACAAAAATTGTGATTTAGACAGTACGTGAACATGCAGACTATGCCTTTTTTATGCACTTTTAATTTAACATGTTTTTTCTATAGTGGAGCTTTTAGTTTACTTATCTTACATAATAGTACAACTGGGTTCATATCATATCATGCTAGAATGCCTAACATGGCAAATGTATGTATTCAAACATTATAAATATATATACAAACATATATATACACAATTTGGAGGCATTACAATGTTCTTTTTTCTGTAAAGAGTTATCTACCTATTTTGTTTTATTTACACTTTCACTATTTAAATAATTTACTGCACCAAAACCGTGACCCTGTAGACAGGATCAAAGGAGGAGTGTTGTGGAGCTATATCAGTCCTAAATGTCTCTCTTTTAACAACCCTTTTCTCTTCCGCTCCCTGTTTTCTTGCTGTGTTCTGCCACTATGTCCTGTCTTCTGCTCCTACAAACCTACTTGTCTCAGTCTTGAGTCTTTCTGGCAAGAATAATGATTTTCTCTGTAGCATCATCAGGAATACTGCAGTGAAGTCGTCTTCATTTGGCACTGTACTGGCATAGTGCTGAAACTTTAATTCAAATCAAACCAACATTGCTATTTGAATGGTCTTATTAAGTAAGTCTCAAAGGTTGAAAACATTTAGGTAATCTCAGCAGATGACAACATTTCCCCTCTACACTGGATCTTGCTAACTATATACTTCTACAGACATGTTCAGAAATACATGCTACTTTTAGTCACTAACTCCACTTTTCAAATATGACAAAGTTAAAAAACAAGTAATTGCAAATCACAAAAGTACAGTAGCAATTAAAAACTCTATACGATTTTATGTCCACAAATCTTCAGGTCAAAAAAGATTAGACAGGAGGTGAGAAAGAGGGAACACTGAAGGTAACATGAGATTTCACCCCTGTCTGCTTTGGTTCAGAGGGTTGGTGTGCTAATGCTGATAATGGGACCACATTAGAAGCTTCTGCATGTTTAAAATCACATCAATTGGCTAACAGGAGCAGACAGGATAATATTACCGTGTGACCTGGTCAAAGGAGGCGAAAAACAAGGTATAGTATACTGTCAGTGTTTTGGTATAATTTGTATTTGTTTAAAAAGACTAAATAATTGCCAAAAACCTGTCTTAAATGACAACACAATATTAGAATGAGCCTGGATTTGAGCAGTTTATCTATACAAGTACTGGTGAGTATCAAATCTTGAACTCCTTGAATAAACCAGACAAATTTCTTCAATATCCATTTTATGAAGTGGCAAAATGGTCAGAGAGCATCATAATAGAGGAAGGGTGTTTATGCTTGAAGCTTACATCAAATAATGAGCAAATAGAGCCATCAGACATTTGGCTTCATGACCCCAAATAAACACTGCTGGAGGATATGGGTTGTGTCTCAAAAGGAAACAATAGTGCATGAGAAACACAATAAATCAACTTACAGACACAATTATAATGAGAGGTGGGTAGAGACACCAAAAATTGTACTGTTACTTCAAAATATTACTTGAGTATAAAGTAGTTGTCCAGGAAATTACTTCAGTAAAAGTTAAAAAAGTATTTGGTGAAACTAGAGTTGGATTAAGAGCAACTGTCTGGATATTAAAGGGACACTATGCAATTAATTTCTTTAAAAGTGACAGATTTTTATGATTTTCTACATGATATGAATTCTATCCAAAAGTTTGGCACAATTTATATGTAAGAAACACATTTTCTGAGGCAAACATGGTCTAACTTGTCATAGGCACGTCAAGTAAAAGCTACAGCGGGCTACAAACTACAATTTGGGTGTCTCAGTTGGAAGACACAAAAGTGAGCTTACAGTTGAAGTGAATGTCCCGTGTGTTTTGAACCAGCAGCAAACATCTCCCAAATGCTCGGTCACTTCCTCCACAAAGACCACACATTATGAAAAGATAAGAGACTGAAAACATCTCTTGTCTTCGGTGCCTCAGATTAAAGCTCAGAATAGCAGCTCCCTGTTCCTCTAATAGACTCCTCTCCCTTTGAGACTCATAGCTCATTACCACTGGATTGCCCCAAGGACCCCCCACTCCCCCTCATCCTATCATAATCACCCCACCCCTCTCAGCGTGACCCTTTGACTATAACTAACATCACTCATAAATGCACCAAAAATGTCCATAAAGTTTATTATAATGTTGTGATTTACGACTGGGAAGCAGAAAATATTCCATTCTTTCATGAAACTTGGATTGAAGTGTATTTGAGAACAAACACTCATCTTTAGTAGGTGAACAATCTTTGTGGTGGTTATAAGGGCAGTCACATCTCAGTCATTCAGCCCTCAGGCAGCTGTGGCTATATGAAACTTATCACAGAGAATGTGAATGAATGTGTGAAAAAGTGCACATGATAAATGCAACAGCTAATGCATAACTTTTATAAACACACTCTAGGTCAGGGGTCACAAAAATTTTTTCTCTGGCGGCCACATTATCACTCCTGATTGCAATGGGGGGGGCGGGGTTAGGTAAGATGTAAAATAGAATTAAACAACCCTGGCGATGCAGATTATATTCTTTGAAAACCGCCACACCTTCTTTACATATCAGACAAACTGCACGGTTCTTACACTGAATAACAAAATAATTGGTCGTCCCCTGTTCTTTGAAAACTCAGCACTTTTCGTACTTTAACACTCGCCATTTTGCTGCCCTTAACTGCACTACTGTAGAGGACCAAACAGAAAGACAAAGACAAGGTATAAAAATAAGTTTAAATTTAATAAAGTCAAAAAAGAAATAATTTAACAAAGGCTCTAATTAGGGAAATCATGAACAAAAAAAGTCGGGG